AACGTTGTTATTAGGGGATACTCATAATAAGATTTCCCAAACATTTAGGCCGGTAGAGGAAAATAAATAAATAAATATACTATTCAATATCTAAACGGAGTGCCTACTCAAATACAAATATCCATAAATAAGAACGTTTAAAATAATTTTTTTTAAAAAAATCAGTCGGATTAGTAAAAATCAGTTACAAATATTCTCTTTGTTTACAACTGGATACGAAACTGTGCAGATATGAAAAACATCGCTTAAAAAAAACATCAAATTGGCCACCCCTGGCCGTCTGTTTCTTCGTGGCCAAGCGGTAAGGCGCATCGGGCTAAACGGCGCTCTCTCCAAGCTGAAAAACGCAGGTTCGATTCTTGATGAAGATCGCAAATTTTTCTTTAATAAGATTTCATGAACATTCAGGTCGGTAGGTGAAAATAAATATAATGCTTAATATATAAACGGAGTGCCTACTCAAATATGAGTATTCACTCATAATAAGGTTTAAAGGCAGTATAGTATGCGTCGAGACAGGGTTACATACCTAGTGTTCCAAGTGGGCATCTCCAGGGCTTGTCTCAGTAGAAGAAATAAGACTGAGTAGTAAGTTCGATCCTCACTGGGTGCCCCTACTTTCGGCCTTGTGCTACATTTAAGCTACGCTTGGAAAATCACTACACAGCAGCCCAAGTTTGACGTTTGGAATTTATAGTTGACTTTCTCCTAGACTGGTTGCCAGCCACGGTTAGAGAGTATAGTATGCCAAATATTTAATTTAGGAGTTAAATCTCTTCTTTCCTCAAGAGTACCTTTGAGTAAATTACTGTAACATCTTTAGCCGAAATTCGAACTCGGCTCGTTAATTTCACTTTGAGCCCCTAACTTTGATACACATTACTTTCTTAATGAAGCGCGTTCAAACCTCACCGAGTACTACACGACTGTAGCTTTTGCCAGACTAAGCTTTGTATATTATCAAATGGACAAGAAAAGCTAACATTATACTGTTTTTCTTTTTTACCTATACTGTTTCAAACAAAGCGTCCACAGCCGAAAAATTAAAAAAAAATAAAATAGATTGCTTAATTTTAAAACTCACATTGGAAGGATTTAATTTTTAATCGGAATTATCTCAAGACGCTATAAAAATAATGCATTAAAGTTATAAAGATATTTTAAAGTTTTGTTTTATTTTAGTTTTATTTCAGTCTACGAAAGCAATTCATGTCGTAGAAACATTTTTAATTAAGAATACAAACAAGAAAAAAGAAAGAATTTGTCCGGCGAAATTACACTTTGATGTTTGTGTCTTTCGTAATTACATTTTCTGCAGAAATATTTTATCTTTCCTTGTAAATTCGTCTGAAAGTTTGACTCAAAATATCATCACCGGCAAACGTGTTGGTTAGATTTTTTTTTATGACAGACACAAATGAAGACAAAGTAACTATTAGATACACACACAAATTATATATTACAATTTACTAAGCGTAGCTTAAATGTGGCAAAATGCAAACAATATAAAACACCAAACAAGGATCGAATTTACTACTCAGCTGTAACTTGTCGGAGTTAAGTCCTTAATATCCTAATTGTTCACTAGGGGACGCTCTCCTTACATGATAAATACTGGGCGATTTCTTGCCTCGTTCACTTTTTACTTTGCATTTCAGTGGACACATTGAAAAAAAAAATTGTGATCTCTCGCAGAAAACGCCATGAAACACACACACACACACACACACACACACACACATATATATAATATCACAATACAAACTATTTACGTTCACGCACAAACATAAACGTTGATGTCTTTGTCCATTGTAAATTTTGTTGTTTAATACATATACTTTTTGTTTATATATCGGTCTTGTTTGTTTTCTTTACATCTTCGGTTGGACTAAACTTGAGTCCGCCATAACCTTGTAGTGGACCTTTCAATATTCTATCAAGAGTTACACACGTGTTCCTCATTTAACAACACGTAAACCCCCGATCTGCTGCCAAATGAACTAGCGAGAGTTGACCAGTGGTTTACTAAGTGTAGCTTATATACAGCCCAAGTCCGAAAGTATGGAGCCCCCAGGGAGGAATCAAGTCAGTATCATAGCTGACCTAGCTAGACAAGCTTGTTAACCATTACACCACGTCGATGTGCCACCGACACATTGTGGATTATATTTAAGTAGTAAGTCGTCTTTTATATACGTTTCATTGAATAGGGCGGGACTAAGAATATTTTGTATATCGCGCACACACACACACATATATATATATATATATATATATATATATATATATATATATATGAATGAATGTGTGTGACGAGATTAATAATAAGCTGATTTGACGCTTTGAGTCAACTGTCATGTTATAACGGGACTATAGAATATATTCAAAGTACTAAGCAAAAAATTTATGTGGATTTAAATACGGCGTGCGAATGCTGATTTAAAAAAATCATGAGCCTGCTTTCTTATCGCGATTTTAATTTCATGTACGTCAGCAATCGAGCTATAAAAGGGTTTATACTCTTCCTTCCTCGCATCACACACACACACATATATATATATATATATATATATATATATATATATATATATATATATATAGGGTGGCAATTAAGTTACTATAGAGTTACTTACAATAACAATTAAGACAAAGCAATTAATCAATAGTCCAGAAATCTATTATTAAAATGGTTCTGGTTAATAACGGTAAAAAGCTATGGTAAGGAATAGTAAATTAATTACCGATACTGTTCGAATTACAAGCAACTGCTTCAATGCCTTGCTTTTTATTATAAGTAGCTGTATAGTGGTTTTAATGTTGCATACAAGATATATAATTGCAGACAAACCTCTCATTTACGAACCCCCATCAACGGACAAATCTACAGGCAAAATAAAAGATTATACAGGAAAAAAAACAAAAAAAAATTCCAAATCGTCAGCGATGTATTTCAAAATTTGCGGGCTTAGCGGACCGAGTCGTATTAGTTCTCAAAGTGACCACTTGGCGGCGATTGCGACCTTTTCAATTGTAAACAAAGACGGGTGTACAGTATATAAGGCACTATAAGCACATTCATGAGAAAGTAGCTGTGAGAAATATATTATTTTTGTTATTTTCATTTATATATCTATATTAAATATATATTTATTTATTTATGACATATATACATGTATTTACATTATGATCATAACTAATGGTAGTAACTATAGTGGCTTTATAAGTCAAAAATAACCCCTTCCCATCTACGGACAATCGGCTTTAACAGACCACCCTATCTCCGTTATTAGAGTGTTGATGAGAGCTATATATATATATATATACACACACACAAGTATATAATTGGTATATACGGAATGAATTCCAATAACCAACAATTACTATTCTTAAAAGAGTGCTCAATACAAAGTAGAGCAGATATAATTATTATTTATAAAAAAAAGAAATGATAACATAAGTATGTTATAAAATCACTACAAAAATAGCCATTTTGTTTCAACACACTCGGTGTCTTATCAAATGATGATGTTGAAGATAAAAAAAACTTCAACATCATCACTTGATAAGACACCGAGTGTGTTGAAAGAAAATGGCTATTTTTGTAGTGATTTTATAACATACTTATGTTATAAATTTTTTTATAAATAATTTATATATATATATATATATATATATATATATATATATAACTAGGTCTGCTGCTAGACAAGTTGGTTCATTGCATAGTGCTAGACAAATTTTTCTGACAGAATCTATCTTATATTTATAAGACTACAATTCTTCCATGTTTTGAATATTTCTATCACATCTGGTTTCGTGATTTTGTTATGTTTTTAGAAATTCTTGATAAAATAAAAAGTCTGCAGTATTATTGGTCCTGACTTGACAACTCACCTTCAGGCAATTCCCACCGCCATAACGTAGATTCCCTGTCCTAATTCTGTAAATATTTTCATGGTAATTGTTTTGATTAACTTTCCTCTGTGCTGCTTTGATTTTATAAATTTCAACGCAGTACTAGGTTGGCGGCGAGGTCTCATCATTTTACAGTTGAAATAACATAGAACTTACAGCTACATCTATCTAAGTTTCTTTTATCGCACTTCTCACTTGTGGGACACACTTCCCGCCTCATGCTTCCCAGTCAACTTTGACCTTCGAAAATGTAAATGCGAAGGCAGCCGTTATCTTCGGTCTTCTTATTTCCTGTTCTTTTATTGTTCTCTTTCCTTAAAGTTTTATTTATGACATTCTCTCATAGTAACCACCCTTGCGTCTTTGTGACTTATATATATATATATATAAGTGAACATTGAAGTCAACACTTAGAGGCGACAGTCTGTTTCATGCTAGACGCAATCGTCAGGCCACCAGTCTATATATATATATATATATATATATATATATAAAGAAATATAGTCTTAAGGTGTGCTATATTTATGGGATAAAGTGCTCAATATCAGGGACAGAGCGTGTGTAAATATAAAAGTGAATATTGAAGTCAACACTTAGAGGCGACAGGCTGTTTCATGCTAGACGCAATCGTGGCCTGACGATTGCGTCTTGCATGAAACAGACTGTCGCCTTTAAGTGTTGACTTCAGTGTTCACTTATGTGTGTGTGTGTGTGTGTATTGAGACAAATCTATGACATGTTGGATGTTTTTGCGTGTGGCGGACGCATTTCGTTATTTAGGACTTCATCGAACTAAAGTGATGTATACGTTGATGTAATTACATATATGCATGAAGGAGAAGGGGTGCTGACATTTTAAACTTAATTTATTTACGTTAAAAAATATTTAAAAATTATATAACCAAATTTAAAAAAAGAAAAATTCATCGTCCACTCTCTTTCATGCAAATGTGTATTTACATTGATCTAAACGTCACTTGAGTCAGATAAAAAATCTAAACGCATCACACGAGAAAAAAAAATATCCCTTTTGTCATAGATTTTCCTAAAATTTGTCTTGATATATAATAAATATTTATACATCTTTACCCGATGGAGGCAGAGAGAGAGAGAGGGAAGGAGAGGCAGAGAGAGGGAGAGGCAGAGAGAGGGAGAGGCAGAGGGAGAGAGAGAGAGAGGAGAAGGGGAAGGGGAAGGTGGGTACGTGTAATTTTAGTTAAATGCCAGATAGCGTCCTTTAAAGAATTGTTTACTTTTTTAGAGAGAAATTGCACATAAACGCCTTCTAAACGCTTTCTTACGCCAGTATCAAAGAATGTCTGTACATTGATAAGGTTGTTTTTATAGGGGGGGGGGTAAATTTGTTTCTTTAATGCTTTTCGTGTATGCAGATATAGACATAAGTAAAAACGCTCAGTGGAAGATGAAGACACTGTCGGGTTATTTCCGCCTAGGTTTCTGAAACTGTTCCTAAGAGACTCTCTCCAACACTATCAATACTCTGCGATATCTTTTCTCGCTCTCGTCTTACTTTACTGCTGATACGACAACGATGTAAATCTCTCGCAGAAGATTGCGTTTTTCTCACCGTCGGAAACGCATTGAACAATGCATACATATACACGTACGTATGCACATTCACACATACTTTGGACCACAAACTCTCCACATTCATTTGTTGCACACACATTGTCTTTGACACTTGTAAACGTTTGTTAATACATATTAATTTTATTTGTAAATCGGTTCTTGGTATTTTTTTAAATTTCTTTTAGGTGGAATCATATTCCGAGTCCGATATATTTGTTGCGGGCATTTCAGGAGACAGACCTGTTTATCTCACAACACGTACAAAGGCCCGCAACAACACCACGATCTCTACTTAGAGATTTATTTCTTATTACCATAAACCTTATTTTTAGTGGATAGACGTGCTTGAGTTGCTATCCACGTTTTTTTTTTTTTTTTTTTGCATCAGTGAAATTAATAACAGCCGTTCAACATATAAATTATATTTCTCCGACAGGTATCGATGATTATTTTTCCATCGGAGAAACTACTTTTTGGGCCAAAGCGAACCTTTACCATTTTGGCCACAGAGAGCAATTTGGCAGCACACCGTTTACTTATTTAATGAAAGCACTTTCCTCGTTGTAACTCTATATATACTAGCTTCAGTTTCGTATCCAAAGAATAAACAGCAGTTATTGCTTGAAAGGGTTTTTTTTTATCCGGCATTATTTCGTAATACATTAACTGTATTTTTAGTGGATACATGTCTTTAAATTGCTATCTGTTTTTTTTTTTAGTTTTTTTTGTTAAACTGTAAAATTAATGGCAACCGCCATAAACCGAGAAGTCTTACAAGGATAAACGAATATATGAGTGGGTGCGATTTGTAGACATGTGCATACACAACCACACGCGCGCACACATATATATATATATATATCATCACACATAAGATATACATACCGTGTTATATCGACTCAATATATAGAGGAAGAGTGAGGCAAATATCACGTTTTGCCATGAATTAAAACCTATTCTCTTTTGTGGGCATTCTGTTTCAAAGGCTGGTTCTAGCAACTCAGCGGGTATGGGGAAAACTGGCTGGCCAGACACAATGCCTAAAAACCAATTAAGTAACCTTCCACCATCGATGATTGGACCGAGAACTTTCACCAATCGTGATGAAATTTTCCTCACACAGGCTCCGTGCCTTGAGCTCCTTTTGGGACTTAAGCTCAACCCAAACCTCAAGTGGAACTCGTACATATGATTCATCTCTAGTGGGGCAGGAAAAATGATCGGTTCCCTGTACTGCCCCAGTATGTATCTAACTCCTCCTGCTATGCTGTACATTTACAAGATCCAGATCAAACTGAAAATAAAGTACTGTTGCCATATATGAGCAGGAGCTGCCCAGACTTCACTTTCCACTGTCAATAGAGTTAAAAAAAAAAACCCTCCTTGGTAGCAACGATTCATTTTCCACTCACAACACCCCACGAACCACTGCTTTGTGGAACGGACTCCCAAGATGCTGCCCCGATCACTATAATCAGTTGAAGTCTAATGTTAGCCATTCTCTTCCACCCGTACGCATAAGTTGTGCATCTTACTCTACATCGAGTGGCCCACGTGACTTGTTCAGGATGAATAGCACAGTAAAAAAAAAAAAATAAGTACGCTGTGAACTGTATTAAATTTTGAGCTCTCTATAAAAAGCCAGAGCATAGCTAACAGAATTTTTTCCTACTACACAGTCAGTACATGATTATTGATAATGTCTGAGATAGTCGAATGTTTGCTAACAAAAACAACAGGACAGACATAAGTTATTATTAGGCATCAAGTATTTATCTAAGCAAGTTTTTTTTTTTTTTCAAATTTAACTAGCAAGATCTATTTAATTTTAGTGTATGAAACATTGCTGACAATCTAGAAATACGCTCAAATTCATAAAGTCTATTTGCCAAAAAGTTATGCTCATCAGAACGATTACCCGGAAAATATTTATAGAAAAGGCGGTGAGAAAGTAACTGAAGCCGAGATAACTTATCAGGACCGATAATTTTCAAGGTTCTTTTTGTTTTATGAAGAATCTCGATAAACATAATAGAAGCACAAGAGCAGATGTAACAGCAATATATATAAGACTGGCGTCAAGATCTCATCAGTTTACAGTTTACTCTCTCGCACTTCTCACTTGTGGGACTCCCTTACGTTTCCATGCTTTCCAGACAACTTTAATCTGCAAAAATTTAAATGTAATGTCAATCGCTGTCTACTGTCCTCTTGCTTATTCTTTCCTCTTCATTAATAATGTTTCCGATTCTTCCACACCTTGTTACCCCTTGTGTGTCTTAGTGGCATTACTGCCTTGCATGGGGTGATGCCGATTAATTATATATATATATACTTTTTTTTAACAAATAGAATTAAGATCATTTTAGTAAATGACCATTTTCACCTACGAATTTTAATGGTCATTAAGTACCCTGTGAAGCGTATCAAAATTTCAGCTCTATAAAACGCCAGGACGTAGCCAACAGAATTTTTTCCTACTACAGTCAGCATCTTAATTCAAATTGTAAAGAAAATTTGCTCGATTTAATGAAAATAAAAATTGAGCGCTCTTTTGTGAGTCACATTTAACATATTTCAAATTCTATGTTATGTTAATAGGACTCGCCTGGATTATATATATATATATATATATATATATATATATATATATATATATATATATATATATATATATATACATAGATATAGATATATACACGTAAATATGTGTAAAGAGTTACTTATTTTTTTTTTTTTTTTTGTAAATTTTTAAGTGTATAATGAATATAACACGCCTACATAACACAGAAATAGACCTTATGAGGCAAAGACTCCATTGCAAGCAAATGAAGAGATGAGGAGTCAGGCGAATGATGGAATGACACCAGATATTTCGAAACAAAGGCGGGGAGACAGCAGACAGGCTGGGAAGACAGAAGAGGGGAGAGTGTACGTGCACGAAAATCAGAACGTAGAAGAATAGACGTTAGATTGGGTTTTAGCGAAATTATTCGTCAAAAATCATGTCAGTGTAACCCTTCCTGATTCTGGAGATAAAGGCGGCCTCGATGCCTGACCGTAATTGACGACGCAAGCTTTTGTGCGATGAATGAGAGAAAGAACGAGCGAGAAAGAAAGAAAGAGAGAGGCCGCCTGACTGGCTGCCCGACATTTTACATTTTTACACGTATTCCTTTCTCTCCACAGCATCGTAGAAATGCCCGTCTGCGATGCGAGAAATTTGAAGAGAAATTATCGTTTCGGTGTATTGCTGTCACTTTAAGAATTTTCTTTACAATTTTTTGGACATGTCACCTAGTTCTCGTTACCCAATCAAAAGAAAGGGCGGATATGTATTGTTTTATCTGTAATCTAAAATGCGTTTCGTCTGCGTGTATGCGATAGAAACATTAAACAATATATACAGGATGCGATGGGTAAATTGTCGCCATTTTATATTTGTAATTCCGCGCAGACACGTTGTTTGTTTGTTTTTTTTTTATTATTTTGTCGGCTGCACGGCATCGTAAGGTCAGTTGGGTACTGTTTGTAAAAAAGAAAAGAGCACCATGACACAATTTACCCCACCAGAAATTTGGAAACGACACGCTGCACGGCTAGACATTCGCGCCGGGAACTCCAATACGATCATTTCAGAGTGTTTCGGTGTTAATCTGAGGACAGTGCAGAAGATTCGGAAAGAGTTGACTTATATATCCAGTCAACATCATGGTGTTTGGAGTGATGGTGACGTGATGTCTCCATTCATCTTCCCACAGAGCCTCAAACTCATCACAGAAGCCTACATCAAATGCCTTGAGGAGGTAGTGCTGCCCTGGGTCAAGAGGGTGGCTGCTGGAAGACCCTATGTCTGGTAAAAGTATTCTGCACCATACTACACAAGTAGGAGAACCCAGTTATGGCTGTCAGACAATTTCCGCGATCACATTACTTGGTCACCTAAGACTGCAACTGAATATGTTGGGCGCACTTGAGACAGAGGACAAAAACCTCCTTTCAACACTAAAGATAAACCTAATCTTAACAACATAAGATACGCAGATGACACAATACTGATAGCAGACTCGAAAAAGAAATTACAAAATCTCCTACAGAAGGTAGCGACGGAGAGTGAGAAGAAAGGACTAAGCATAAACTACAATAAAGATTGCATGGTCATCAATAAGAGGAAGAGTCCAAAATGCGATTTGCAGGTCGGAAAGTTTAATTATCTGGGAAGCGTTTTGAGAGGACGGTAAATACGACACTGAGATCTGTAGACGTATTGGGATAGCCAAGGACGCATTCCAAAAGTTGGGCAGAGTATTGCGAGACAGGAGGATTTCTTTGGTAACAAAGAAAAGAATACTGAGACATCTGCTCTTTACGGTAGCGAATGTTAGATGATTTCCTCAAAACCGAAGAAGTGACTCGAGACGACTGAGATGTGGTTCTTCAGAAGGATGCTAATGATAGAATGGACCGAGCGTGGGAGCAACGATGAGGTCTTATAGAGGATGCAAACAAGGAGGAGGCTTATACTTAACATCAGAAAGAGGCAGCTGGAGTTTCTGGGACGCATAAAGAGGAAGGAGGGCCTAGAGAATTTGATACTCACGGGTCGAATAGAGGGAAAGAGAGACAAGGGAAAACAACGCATGGGTTTAAGCAAATGGATGACAGAACGTGGTCTGGGGGAGGAAGCAGACGGAAGGAACTTGTTGAGAGCTGCCAGGGATATAGGGAGGTGTAGAGCCAGGATCGCGTGCGTCCTGAAAGGACATGGTACATAAAAAGAAAGAACGAATATTTATTGTATATTAGCAAGGCTTTTGACCAAAGCGAGGCATGATGAAGATGTTAAACATGGGAATTTTCGGGCATTTTATAAAAAAAAAAATTCTGAGGAATTTCTTTTTCGCTTGATTTATATTACTAAAGGAAACTAGTAATACACTTACAGACGTATTTACAGGCAATATTATATATAGGGCCTATATTTTAGACGAATAAAGTTGTGTATTTCATAGGCACCTTAAAAAACCTGTATTCGAACAAGGAAATAAGATTTTCGAGGTAACAAATCAAAAAGTATAGATAACAATAATAAATCAGTAACACCTAACAAAACACTTAGTCCAATAAAGTACTGGAATTTAAAATTTAACGCGAGTAGATCTTTGCAAAGTATCCTATACAAACACGTGCATACACTATATATGTGTAGCTTTTAAATATAACCGTATATTTCTCTATATTTATATGTGAATGATATATCTATGTGCATGTATCTGAAATAATATTTCATAAGGTTAGAGCATTTGCTATCATATCTTTGAACGAAGTTCGAATACTGACCAATAGGGCTGGTCAATTTTGAATTCCTGTTATTGCACTCAATTTGAGTGTTGGGGTTTGATAGAATAAATGATGACGAAAAATATTTTTTGCAAAATCGTTTTTTGAGCAAATGAGTTCAAAGATTACATTTAGATTAAAATCGTAGCGTTGGAATTTCATTCCAGTGTACCGTGAAAGCCTAATAGCACAGCCTTATATAAATTTATAATTTACTGAAGCTTTATAAGCATATAAACACAATATATAATATTAGTGGAAAATATACATACATAAGTGTTTCAGCCTTTTTATTATATATATATATATATATATATATATATATATATATATCTCAGTCAACACTTGATAAGACACCAGAAGTGTTGAAACAAAATGTCTAACTTTGTAGTGATTTTATAACATATTTTATAATTTTTCGAATAAATTATATTTGCTTTACTATGTATTGAGCACTCTTTTAAGAATAGTATTTTTTGGCTATAGGAATTTATTCCGTATGCACCAATATATATATATATATATATATATACACAGATGCATATATGTGTGTGTGTGTGTGTGTGTATTTGAGAGAGAGAAAACGAGCAGTCTACAAAGAAATGCTCACATTTAAATGTGTAAATACTAAACTCCAGTAACATATGCGAGAAATATCGTATAACTTTAAAAGTCAGAACTCCGAAACCAGTGAAGATATTCTTAAAGACTCCAGTTGCATTTAGTATCTCTCTCTCTCTATCTCTCTCTATATATATATATATATATATATATATATATATATACATATATATATATATATATATATATATATATATATATATATATATATGAGAGAAGCCATAGTTAATGAAGAAAATACTCAACAGACTTCTCTATCGTACCTCAAGTTTCGCAGATACACCGATCTTCGGCGTCAGATAAATCTAATTTATCTGACGTTGACGAGTGTTGTATCTGCGAAACTTAAAAAGACCGATGGTAATGTATTTTAAGCTTATTTATCTGTTAATAAAATATGAAAATAAGAAAAAGTAATACTTAGATAATCTTTTCCAGACCACTAAACAATGGAGAGAATATTCTTCCAGAAAAAAAAAATATATATATTTATCTATGTAAGAATGTAGTAGCCGAAACACGATCAAGTCGGCAAAAATATGTATAGTTTCTGAATAATTCGTAGATTAATGAACATTCGTCGTATACCATTTATAGCGACAGATGTTTGGTACGCTTCCAGTGAGATTAGTCGTATAATGGGTTTCTCTGCTATGTGCAAAATTTATCAGCGTTTGTCTATTTAGAGTTCTGGCCACCCACATTGTCAGTTTCTATATTGCTGTCTGAAAGGAAATATGAATCATATGTTTATACCATTTAAACAATATATTAAAGAAAACAGAAAAAGGAATATTAGCAAAATTTGGAATGGCGAATCTGTGGCTTTAACTTTCGCCCTTGGGAAACCAATGAACCCATCTCTTTTCGGTCCGGTTAGGAGTAAATTAGCAGAGTAGACAGATCTCTGACAGTGAGTGGATGCCAGTGTAGAAGAAGAACAGTTCTTCATTTAAAAGAAAATGATTTTTTTTAAAGAAAGCAACTGGAAACCATTGCATTATCTGTCTCAAAGAAATTATGGCAAGTCGCAGAAATTAAAACAAAACAAAACAGAGAGCCATGAAGGGCCAAGTTTTTAAGCATCTAGAATATATTCTATATTCCACCTAGTGAATTTTTATTGACTGCATGCAGTGTACACCTTGGGAAGGACCGAGAATGTGACGGTCGAAATAAAGAAAAATATGAAGAATATTGAAATACATTTCTTTCGAAGTTAAGCACACAAGTTTCAGTCAGTCAGTCATGTTCCATGTGTGATACACCCTTAGGCGATCATGTATATTTCGATACATGACTAACGAGGCATATTTTTCCGACAGTAGGTTTCCATTTCTTTCTGCAGTAGACCAGTTGACATCCAAGGCTATAGAACCCGGTCTGTTCTGCCATTTACCCATATCTGGGGTGGGAAGAGAAGAAGAGGATTCATACCTTTCCCAAGCACGTCAGTGAATGTAATGGATTCGACAGGAATTCGAACTCGGCTCTCCGATTCCTTAATACGAGTCCGTTATCCATTACTCCACCGTACACTTGGAATAAAAGAAAATGACCGAAGAAAAAAACTAGCCTATATAATAAAATATACTTTTACGATATGCTATATTTATTGGTTAAAGTGCTTAGTATTATGGATAGATATGTAAATATAAAAGTTGATATCTAAAGTCATCATCCTAACGACTGTGTTTAAGCCTGAAAGTGTTGACACTGAGTATTGATTTCAATATCATATATATATATATATATATATATATATATATATAGCACTAAGATTTTTTTCGACTCAGTTTTGTTTTTCTTTTGTTGTTTAATAAATGACACATAAATGATAACTATAATTATCCATGCAGAAAAACATTTTGAATAAAAATATATATTTTTTTAAAACTACTTCATCTCAGTAATTATCCATTATGGACAGTCGTGGCAAAAACCAACAAGAGCGTCAAAGTCACGGTCCTTTTCTTTAAAATCAGATTTTACCTTCTCCATGACTGCATCGAATTTGGCTTCCCCCAGGCTTTTAGGTGGATTGCTGGGGCTACAAAGTTATACTCTTGCATTTATTGTTCCACGACAAATTGCTAAAAAAAAAAAAAAAAAAAAAAAAAATCAAAACATTAACCTAAAAACTCGTGTCATGTTTTCAAATAGCCTCATCTGATCATATGGATAACATGTATGGCATCCAAATCATTCAGAAACATCTAAACTATCAACTA